GGGGGGGGGGGGGGGGGGGACAATTTCTTACAATATCTTTTATGTTTGACAGAACAAAATACAGTTTTGGAATGGCATGAAGATGAAATGATGACAGTTTACATTTGTGGGATGACTATCCCTTTTAATTTAAATTAAATACCAACTTTTTCCTCATTTTTTTCTTCATATGCTTATTATGAAATAATATGAATATGTTATGAAATACTATTGTATCCACAGAAAATAGGTTAAATGTGAGAAATAATGAGGGGCCGCTTACGTCACATGTTAGGGTCATCCTCTCATTGACCAGGTCGTGTGGTTCATTATGGATGTGAGAATTTCGAGTGTTCTCGTCTTCTCTTCTGGCTTTCTGGTAGGATGCTGGCAGTACAACAGAGCGCTGGCAGCACTCTGCCACTTAATGAGCAGAACTCTGACAGCACCATCACACACTCACCAGCCAAGTGATGATCAGTGGGTGCATTAGTGAGCGGAGGGTTACATGGCTCTGCTGTTATCAGAAGCAAGCAGCTGATGTCTTAGCCTCCTTTCTTCTGCAATCCCGGCTAATCGATTCTCTTCATCCTTCTCTCCACACATTCACCAACTCTATTTTTTCCCTCACTTCATCTTTGCCAGTTATAGGATTATTTAATCACAATTTATTTCACTTATATGTCCTCAGTGAATTAAAAGATGGGGATAGTCAACCCCTTTATTTTTTTTTTTAGGTTTTTTTCTTTTTTTTTTTTTTTTTTTAGATAAATTCTGCATATGCAACATTATAAACTGCAGTATTTAGAATTTCAAATTGTGTCTTTTTTCCATGCACTAATAATAACTAACCATTGAACAACTGGATCGTATCATCAGACGAACCAAAATAACTCCAGGCTTGTTGTTTTCTTTAATTATGCAGGTCTAAATAACCAGGCTTTCATTGAAAAATTCCACCCATCTGCACAGCCTGTCCTTTAAAATACACATAAAAGCATTGTTATTAAGTCATAGTAACTTCACATGAGGATTCAGACGCTCAGACTCCCTGAGCATCTCAAAATATTAGAATATTTACATTTGAGTTTCATTAAATGACTGTACATACAGTATAAATTCCGGGTATCTCTTGTTCTTACATTTTCCCCTAAAAATTAGTCACCTACTTTATTTTACATTTACAGGATAAAACCCAGGTGCACATATGGTACCTCGGCTCCTCGTGGAGTGGAAACTGCAGTCCTGTTTACATTCTCGAACAAAAGGGCTCATCAATGTTTCAGCGGCTCTGCATTGTTCAATTTGTCCACCTTGTGTTATGTGGCGACCTATAGTGCTAATATTTGCCTTGTCAAATGTGGACATATTTTCAGACCAGTCTATATTTACTCCCAAAGGGGTAACTAATAGACGGTGGCTCCGGTGACCGTAAATGCTTGTCAGTACATTCAGCAGTAGGCCTACACTATTTAAAAGATGATAAACATAATTATGAAGTTACATATAGAGATGCATGTAAATCTTACTTAATTGGGTCTGTCTGCAGTTAAGGGTCCAAAAACATTACCTTTAGTTCACACTTAAGTATATTCTAATAATGTGTATTATTTCCATACTGTAAAACTATACTAAAGTGGTATTTTTTTCACAAGGTTATGTTAGTATTGTGCTAGTCTAGCTAGCAGATTAGCTTAAATGTATTAGTCTTACCTGTAAACAAACTGTTTTATAGACTATTCATATTCTTAACATGTTAATATTTCACATTCAGTGATCCCTGACTAGTTGACCGTGTTATTATTATAATTTTTTTTCTCACCCTCTTGTATTTGTTCAGTCCAACGACCGGTTCTGATGTCTCTGATAACGCTTTCTCACTCTTTTGCTCCTTGCCTTAACCCGCCACAACTGAGTTTCACTAAGAGCCTATCAGTTACTGTCCCTGAAATCCAACACCTCTGCTTGGCACACTGGGATGCGTAAGGACAATGCCACAGGCCCTTAGCAGGGGGAGTACCTGCTCAGGTAACCAGACACTCGGACACCCCCACGAACCCATCGCTCGAAAAAAAAGCCCGAGCCTCACATTCATCCTCCGAGAGAGTGCAGGTTAAGAGGAAGAACTAGTATGGAGGAGACTGAAGTGCATTCAGCAGGTTTTTAGTTGAAAATTTGACAGGGATGTGTTTAGAAGTTTCTCAGATGAATACATGGAGAAGATTAATTAGACCTAGACTTGTTTATTTTGCTCTGCATAACATGTTGAGTCTATGAGCACATCTCTGCAGGTCAATATTTCTTGGATCTTTTTGCATGAAACCATGGAAAACCGTCAAACTGTGATGGTATCCTGAAATGCATTTGTGTATCGGGATCTCATCCATAAACTGGAGCCTCAACATCTGATTGGACACTAAAAGCTTGTATCTTCTGGCGTGATGCATGGGCTCCCGTGCTCAGCGCTACAGAACTGTTTTGGTGGTCCTCCAGATGTTTCTGCTGACCCCGCTTCATACCAGGACCCAGAACTCTCGAAAACTGGGCCGGATCCTGCCATGGGCCTGACTGTTCTCACTCAGCCTGGTCCAATAAAGCCAGTGAGGACTGACAGCCAGCCTTCATTTAGCTGCGTCTCCATCCAGACCAAGACAAACGGGACTAACTCCAAAACCAAAGAACCGGACGCAGAGAACCAGGACACACTTCATTCCTACCCAAGCTCAGAAGGGCTCTCAGAAGAAGACGATGCCCAGGATAGGAGCCCTGTTCTGGACACAAAACGGCCACATATTCCCCGTCCATCTATCATCAGGCCACAGAAGGTAAGAACTCTATTAGTAGGATTTGCACTCAACTTTTAGCTTGTTTAGCATGGAAGCCCATTTCTGCCATGGTATAATTGCAACTTTTTATCTCAAATTTTGACTTTTTTCTAACAGTTTTGAGTTTGTCATAATTTGGACTTTGTTTCTCACAAGTCAGAATTGCAAGATATGAACTCAAAATTCCGACTCTCTATAAACTCAGAATTACAAAAAAAAAAAAAAGTATTAAATTCTGAGTTTAATTTTGCACTTGATGAATTTTTTTTTCTCAATTACAAGAAAAAGTCAAAATTCTGGGATAAAAAGTAACAATTACCTTTGAATTTTTCATTCTGTGGTGGAAACGGGCTTCCATAGTTTGGCTTAACTGGTTTCTGCAACACTTAAAGCTCCTTCTGAGATTCTAGTAAGGTCAGACTGATGTTCATTGACTGAAATTGTTTCATTAAAAATTCCATGAAATCACCTGATGATCACATATGTATTTTCTGTCGAAGTTTGGTTGGTAAATAATTTTCTTCTTAAAAGTTACATTCAAAATGGCAAACCTAATGCCAGATAATATGTTTATATGGCAGAAATTGTAAGAGTAGTATGCTAGTATGCAATTCTGATGAGTTACGTCGCTGCAATGGACCATGTCTAGCTACTTAGTCAGTTGAAGATACTATTGGGGGAGGGGCATTCTGCATTCAGCATTTGATTGGACAAAAATCTCTGTAGTGCAAGATGATGTCATCAATATTTTGGTTCTTTACCTAAGAAGAGCTAAAGCTTTAGTTGTGTCCCAACTGACGTACTGAATTTGTATAATATGCACTATACACTACTGTCTAGAGCAGGGCTGTCCAAACTCGGTCCTGGAGGGCCGGTGTCCTGCAGAGTTTAGCTCCAACCCTAATTAAACACACCTGAACCAGCTAATCAAGCTCTTACTAGGCATAGAAACTTCCAGTCAGATGTGTTGAGGCAAGTTGGAGCTAAACTCTGCAGGACACCGGCCCTCCAGGACCGAGTTTGGACAGCCCTGGTCTAGAGTATGCATTTTAGAAGGTTATTTTGTAATACAGCATCAGAGTCTGATAACCCTCCCCTTCCACTATGCAAGGAAAACAGTTGAGTGTCCAACATTCCACGCTTTGTTTTTTGGTTGAATAAGTACAGATTTTAAAGAGTATTTTTTTCTTGTTGGAATTTTCAGTCAACACACTTTTCACACTCTTAACTACAAAATAGTGTAAAAGTATATGAATTGGGACACACTCTATAAATCTGAATACAGATGCCTCAAAGCTAATAGACATGGACTGATTTCATTCAGCTCTTTATCAGTAAGTATGCATGTTTAGACAAGTCATTTAACACAAGTCAAACTGGTTGCACTTTAGCTAAAGTTCTGCATGACCAAAACTAACGTTATCTATCGGAGTTAAATCAGATGATCACCTTAAATAACCACTAACCATTTTTTAGGCTTGTTTGATATGCTTAAAAGAATGAAGGCTTTTCAGTTGGCTTGGCCTTTTAAGTTTAACGTAATTGTGAGTCACTGTAAAGGTTAGGACTAGCCTAGTCTGCTATTGAGATTTATTGAGGTCTCAGTCCATGAACAAGACTTAAAGGCTCCTCATTAGCAATGCTATTAAACTTGTGTGTGCGCGGGTTTCTGGCTGCTAAGGCAATGTTTTGCTAATTAAACCATATCACTGTGAAAGCATTCTGTGAAAACATTTTGTGTGTGTGTGT